ACGAATCTAATTGATTTGGATGCTATTGATGAAAATAAAATGGTGACAATAGGTTCAAATTGTAAACGAAAACGAATAAACAAAGCGCTAAATACTAGAAACACTTCAAATTAGTGGTCACGAGTGCTGTAGGCAAAAAAAAAAAAAAAAGAGAGAACAACATAGAACCAAAGTATAATGTTAATATTGCAAAGAAATGTTAGCATGGCAAAATGGTATCCGCACACCCCATCTAAATAGACATTTCAAAAATGTATAGTCAAACACGAATGTGTGATATTGGACTCAACTTCAATTTGGGCTTTTAATGGTGCAAAATCTAGTTTTGTCTTAACAATCGAGTCTATTAACGAGAGGCAATGCATGAAAATATATCAATGTTGGTAACTTTTGGTAAGTTTTTGCTTAATGCAATAGAAAGCATTTACTTGCCCAACTTCATACATAAATATTTACAATTCAGGTACAAATCCTATTCTAGAAACAGTCTTCGATTGGATGCTATTAGTTTATAAATAAAAAGAAGGCTTAGAGAATAAACTATTTAAATAAATACGTTGATGTTTTATAATTTACATCTGACTTGCAGTCCGATAATAACCATAAAGGTTATATAGTTGCTAATGCACACTACATAGATAGTGAACAATGCATGAAAAATTAATTGCATTTAAAGTAATTGAAATAAAGTTTCTAAACTTTGTTTGATTTTGTTTCTATTTTTAGGGGTGGACAAAATGTCCAGATCAAACCAACCCAGAACCGAACCGAACCAAACCAAGTAGTTCGGTTCGATTCTATCAAAAAAATTAATGGTTTTTGTTCTTTGAACCGAAAACCATTTGGTTTTGGTTTTGGTTTTGGTTTTGGTTCAGTTCTAGTTCAAGAACCAAATTTAATATTTAATTTTATATATAATAATTAGTGGAGACCCTAATTTTATATTTATTGGAGATAGCACATTAATTGAACACAGTATATTAATCAATTTTGGGTCATTAGAGATAAACAACTAATTAGTTGTCTACACCATAATTTTGTATTCAGTTGAATTATTTCTCTTTCACTCCTTTTCAATTTACACAACATCGTAGCATACTGTTACCACATTTCATCAAGTCAATGGAGTGTCATTTAAGATCGAAAAATAAAATTGGTCAGTTACTTAAAAAATCTCTAAACTCTTTTTTTACCTTAATTGTTTGATAAGTTATTTGTGTTTTTCACAAATAGAGGAATACCCAATAAACATTCATGAAATATTAAACAGTTAATGTTGCCCGTAGAAGTGGACTGTAAAAATTTTGATAATTCATTCTTTATTGTAGGGGTGTACCTTCAAAACTACTACAATTAATTTAGTGAATCATTGCTATTACTTATTAAACAATTTTTTGTATGAAAATGAAAACTGATTTGTGTATTCAAAATATAAATATATTTTGTTTGTTAGTTATGATTTTTTTTTATCTCGATGATTGAAATTTGAACTTCATAAATGTTTGATGTTTATTTTCTTATTCAAATATACATTACTAATTTATATGATGCAAATCTAAAAATTTAAGAAATGAAATTTGAACTAAATCAAACCAAACCAGAACTGAACGGGTCGGTTCAATTTGGTTTCATATCTTTAAAAAAATCATTTGGTTTCATTATCAAAAAACCATTGGTTCATCGTTTGGTTCGGTTCTCTTGGAACCAGAATCATATGGAATCATGCCCACCCCTATCTATTTCCCTAGTTTTTTGTCAGATTATTATATTTAACATTCTATTAATTAATACTTCTTACCTCTAATGATAGTTTGGATCCAAAAACTACGGTAAGAGATCATAAAAAGACTTAAAATTTATTTCGTAATTTTAGAAAAATAAATAAATAATGAATATAAAATTTGAATAAAACACTTTCTCATCATTTCAAAACACACTAGCAAAATGTTTAAACAAAATTGTCATCATAGACAAGATATGTTAATTAATTGAATGTTAAAGAAAAGAACGCGATGACAAAAGTTGGGAATGTAAAATTCGAAACAAAAACATTAAAAATCTTCATTGCTATTAAAATATGGTGTAAGTAACAAAATTGTGATTTGGGCATAATTACCCACAGAAAATAAATTTCTTTCTCATTTTATTTACTTTTTCTTGCTTAATCCCATCTTTTTTAGAGAAGCTATTCATTAGAAAATAAATCAAGGGATTATTATCACTCAAACGGGTAATGATTAGATTAATGATGGAAGTCAATCAACATGTAAGGATCAAATGATGAAAATATTTCAAACTAAAGTGCATAAGGGAAATTATATCGAGATTGAGGGATGATATTATGTATCATCTGCTCTTAATAAGGAAAAGTATCCAGTTTTGATACAAAATAGAAACATGCTCTTATGATCTGTGTTGACTTTGTGAATTTCTCTGTTCTTAATGCACTTTTATTTAATATAATTTATAGAAATATAGTGAACAGACAGGGAACTAATTTTTTTTTTTTTTTTTTGGTTTTTTATAATTCAGGTGTCCAAGTTTTGCCTTACTAATCCTGAGGAGTAACAGTCTTCCCCCCTAGTTTGCCACCCAAATAAATATAAATGTGGTCACAGCTTATAAACACTTAGATCGAACATTCGGGATGCGATTCTCCTCTCTGTAGATCCCTCTTTAAAACGTTTGGATAGGATCCCCCGAAAGGGCAACAAAGTGCATAATAACTTTGCCTCTACAAGACAAATGCCTTCCAACTATCGCGGGGATTCGAACCCACGATACTCTGTATAGAACCCTCCTACTTTACTACTGCGCCATGTCCGTGGGTGCAACAGGGAACTAATTTTGGTTTTACTTGAAATAGTCTATCACGGAAGATTCAACCAAATGCACGAGCGTTCGTTGTCAGAATTTGAAAAAGGAAATAGAATTGAATTAACTATAATGAAGTCATATGTTCTAACCATTAAATCTTCTCAAATCATGTCTAAGTCAAGTAATTAGTTAATTATTATTTTAAGTAATTTTAGCTTAAAATTCACTATATATCGATTGTTAGGTTAATTTAGAATTATTCAATTTCAATGTTTAATTAATTGCACATTTATCATAAAAAATGATACTCGACTGATTTATTTATTATTTGTTACAATATCTTACCATTGATTATTATTTGTTGATTGACTCCATTAAGATATACAATATCTGGGGCTTCTAACTTTCTAAATGTGAGAAAGATATTAAAGAACTATTCTCTTAATAAAGTTAGTTTCTAAAATCGTTTTTATTTTCTTATATTTTATGTTTTTCTAGTGACTGGCATGATCATGATCCATTTATTTAATTATTCTCTTTAGACTCTGTGAATAATACTCCGCATGAGGCCCACTTTAAATTTTTTCACGGGCTAATAATAGAGATCTTATGATAGATTTAGCTCCCGTTTGTCATCCTTTAATAAATTAAATTATTTGTTATAATAATATTTTTCACCACACATTCACACAATAAAATATTTTACACACAAATTAATGAAGTTTCTTTAAATTTCAATCATGCATTCTCCAAAAAATACTATTCAAAACTCTATATTTTCTCTTATACTGGGAGACAAACAGGCTCTTAAACATTTGTAGAGGTTGAAAAATTGAGGGAAAAGGACATAATGGGAGAGGGAGCCAAACGATTTTATGCCCGTGTTTGGTGGCCTTTATTTCAAAAAAATTATATTTCGAACAGTATTTTTTAGAGAATGTGTGATTAAAAAGTAAAAAAAATTTATGAATTTACATGTAGAATATTTTGTTGTATGCATGTATAATTAAAAATGAATATGAAAAACAAATTAAAGTAAAATAATTTAAATTAAAAGGAATCAAACAAGGACTAACCAACAATGGCTTAGGTTTAACGGCAGTATTTGGTTGATGATACTACCTAGTAGCATGAATGTATGATATTACATCTTATGATTGTTGAATATATTCAACATCGTCTCATCATAATCACATGGAATCACAAATTCAAAACGTTATAAAGAAACTACGTGCAATGCACGTGCTTTTAAATCAATAAATAAGTATATTTTTCTCGTACCTAAACAAAGTGGAATCACAAATTCAAAACGTTATAAAGAAACTACGTGCAATGCACGTGCTTTTAAATCAATAAATAAATATATTTTTCTCGTACCTAAACAAAGTGGTTCAAGAATGAAGATAAAAATAAAGAGAAAAAGTTAGCATGTGGATAAAGCTAAGCAAGTGATTTATTGGATTATTTTGCATATCTTTTATGAACAACTTTTTTTGGCCTTTCAAATCAATGCTATAATTCTTGTCCTAGTTTCATATTTCGTGTGTGATGCTGCATTAACATCTTTCTTGTCCTTTCAAATCAATCCTCAACTTCTAGCACTAGTTTTCGTCCAAACCAATATCCCCTAATCGGTGTTCATCCGCTATTTCAGGGTGACGTGTGTAACAAACGAGTTAATGCATTATAGAGTTGGATTTGGTCCAGGCACATCATGTATCGTTCTGCTCGCAATAATTCAATTAATTTTTCAAGTCTGCTTCTCTTCAACTTCCCGAAGCGTAGGATAAAAACTTAATAAAAATCGAAATTAAAATCAATAATTAATTTTAACCAAACATTTCATGGGATTCACAAATTTTATTAACTTTTCAACCACACATTTCATCAATTTTTATCAAAATCTATTAAAAATCTAATTTAAACTCCAAACAGGAGCTTCATGTGTTTGACAAGCAAATTTACTTTTAAATTACTTATTATTTTACAGATAATTTTCAATTAATTAAACTTATTCCTCTAAAAGTAGATTTTTCGCTTATTACATTTCTTAGTTTTGAGAAATTTGAATATAAATTAGAAGTCTCAAATTAAAAGAAGAGAGGACCCAGTTTCACACTGAACGTAATATGAAGGTGTAAATGATAAATTTTTCTTAAAAGGGGACAAATTTGCAGATGACTCCCTAAATTAGGGTTCTGACGTTCACTCTCAAATGCTCACACTCGCAGTCGATTCTCAAGTCTTTTCTGCATCGCACTCCTTTTCTGCCTAGTTGGTAAGTTTCCCCTTCTCTCTATACATATACATGCAATTATCTATCTACGAGTACCGTCACGTATGTATTTCTATGTTTCTGGTTTTCGAGTTTCGGTTCCTAGGTTGAGTGCATTTTGTATTTCTTTCCCATTTAATAACGGCCCATTTTTGCTGTTGAGTCTTTATTAGCATTTTTTTTTGTTACGTGTTTTTGTTTTTTATAATTACTTCGTTTCTTTAATTATCTGATGCATTAACTGGAAATGATTGAATGCGTTCCAGGATGTAAATAACAATTATCGTAGGTTACTTTTTAAATACCTGTTTGATGTTTGTCTTTATTTGGGTTGTTTCACGTTTAGCTCAAGTGATTCAGACTTTATGGTTTTCGTCATTTTTTATGATGAGAATTTCAATTATGAAGTGTGTACTGGAATTCCAAATAAAAAAAAAAAAAAAACTTTTGTTAGCAGTTACTATAATTGAGGGGGGAATTTGTTTGGGTTGTGTATGTTTGTTGTTTTTGTGGCTATCCTTTAAAACCATCGGCAGTTTTTTTTTTTTTTTCTTTTTTTTCATTGCATAGAATATTTTGGCAATATATTCGGTTGATTGACATTTTCCTGCATGGTATTTGGGGTACTAGCTAATATTTTTTACAATTTACATTTTTTTTTCTCTTTATTTTTTGAAGGTGTGCTACATTTAAGCAATTGAACGATTTGATGAGGGGGAACTTATAACATAGATGATGATCGTTGATAATATATTATTGGGCTGGTAAAGGGAGATGCTTCTTGCCACGTGTTTGGCGAAGTAAGAATACTGTAATTCAGGGTCTGAGCTTCTCCTTTATCAAACTTAATCAAGTTCGGGTTTTTTAGACCTTAACTTTCTCGAAACTTCGTTATATCTTACTTGATATAATGATGTGTATTAATTAATTTTAAGAATCCTGATATCTGGAGAAATGGATTAGTGCTTCTTGCACCTTTAAAAGCTTTGCGAAGATTGTGAGAGCTGAGAAGGAATAGGTTCTGGCAAGTATTTTGAAAGATAGCTAAGACGGGGTCCCTCTGTTGTGTGGCTGCAAGGCCACATGAGTCCAATGCAACCAGCAGGGATTGGTCAGTGGGGCCACGTGAGCCTTACTGGCAAACCAATACAAGCTTTTCACCAGCACCTTCAAGATGGGATTTTCGATTTCATCATGAAGCTTTGTCATTTGGTTCTCATGACGACATTCAATTGTATGGTTCTTCTACATCATCAAACAGCCGAGAAAGTGGACACTGGGTGAGGGGAAGCAGTGTTGCTAATAATCAGCACCTGGTATCTGATGGCATGGGCCAATACTTTAGCAGTCCAATTGACATTTCTCCGGTGCAGCAGTGGACTCCCCCAACAATACAAGAAATCAGGGAAGATGTCTATGGTGCTACAAGAGGAGGTATAAATATAAATTATTCGTTTTGCCCCTGTATTTATTTTTGGTTTCATTAGGGCAACATATTTTGCCATTGCAGTTTTCTTCTCATTTTGCTTTTTAAACTTTTGTGCTACTTTTCATAAGCTAAGCCTAACATGCTATTAAGTCTTTGAATCTCCTGTTGTTTCCGCTGCTCATGTTACCTTGTTTTTTAATGTTCACTGTCCCTCTTCGTTCTTGTACACTTGTGTAATTTTATGTCTAATGCAGTGAAATGATCTGTTAACATCATTGTTCATGTTATACTTCTAGTATATACGTAAATATATACTTGCAGTGTGATTTAATATCACACCAGTAGTGCTTCTCGCTTGCCATTTGACATCCTTGATGCTTTTGGACTAAAAGCTAAACTTTTGTTCTTTATGGTTTTTGTGAGGATAGAAAGCTCCACAAACAGACATTGAGGGTCGACTTGTATCCTATGTATGTCCTTGTAAAAAGTCCTATTCTTGGCACCCTATTTCGTCAAACACAATCCCCTTTTCCTCCTTGAAAAAAATACCTTAAAGAGGGAAAAAAAAAAAAGAAAAAAAAAAAGGTGTAATTTCACACTCACTACTGTCTACTGCTATGTGACAAGTCAATAAAATTATTTGATATTTGGTTCTATGATGTTTTTGAAGGGCTTGATGGGAAATGGTGGAGCTTAAAGAATAGCTCCACAATTTCTACAGGTTCTCTGAAGAATCCCAGATCGTTTTGCCCAGATATTGATATCTATGGCATCATAGTACGGACTTGTGCCACAGGTCTTCAATTCTATATGGATTCCATACACCACAAATTCGCCTCCAATTGCCATAATATCTGCTATTGCAGGAAGTAGTATTTGTTTAGATTAAAGAATTTATCAAAGGTTTCCCACGCTGCTCCCATTGGAAAAAGTTACAACTATGTAGGTCATGTGAATGAAATTTTTTTTTTTTTTCATTTACATTTATATTTACTTGACATAATTTTTCATAAACAAAAGAAAATAACATGCAAATTAATGTGATCACTCAACAACCACCCAACTTGTTTGGCTGTATTTGAATATGTGATAAACTTTATAAATTTGTCTTCCTTGCTAATATGGATAATCCTTGTTGGGGAGTTTGGGGGGAGGAGTAATATGATGTGCCATTATATTAACCCATTAACACGAATACGAAGACTGTTAGAAATTTTACCTTTTGTCCATCTCTTTTGATACACCACAAATTCACCTCCAATTACCATAATATCTGCTATTGCAGGAAGTAGTATTGGTTCTGATTCAAGAATTTATCAAAGGTTTCCTACGCTACTCCCATGGGAAAAAGTTACAACTATGTTGGTCACGTAAATAGAATTTTTTATTTATTTTATTTATTTTTTTATTTTTTGTCTTCTTCATTTACATTTATATTTACTTGACATAATTTTTCATAAACAAAAGTTACAAAAGAAAATAACATGCACATTAATGTGATCACTGAACAACCACCCAACTTGTTTGTCTGTATTTGAATATGTGATAAACTTTATAAATTTGTCTTCCTTGCTATAATGGATAATTCTTGTTGGGGAGTTTGGGGGGAGGAGTAATATGAAGTGCCATTCTAGTAATCCATTAACACGTATACGAAGATTGTTGGAAATTTCACCTTTTGTCCATCTCTATTGATTGCTTTCCCTCTGAATTATGTTGGCCCTTAAAGGACCAATCTGAAGTTTCCTGCCAACCATGCAATGCGAAAATGGATAACCAAACTGTAAGCTTACCCAAAGATTCCAGGTTCATCTCACAAAATTTGAAAGAGAGAGTAGATGATATCAGTAGATGACTAAGATCCCCGATAAACATTGTGTTCACTTGCGTGCACTCTATGCACGTGTCTTGTAGTCTTGAGCTTTAACTTCTGAAAAGAAGTAACCTTAAGAATAATATGAGTTCGAAGATAAAAGGTATATCACCTATTGTTTTATTATCATTCGACAGTTTTCTCCTTGAATTATGGCGTCCATATTCTTGCTCAACAAGCCCAAATCTGGAATTTCCTGCTACCCTGTCAGAGGAAAAGAGAATAACTTATCCAGCAACCATTCATCAAATGTCTTTATCTACAAAAAGACTAATAAAAATGCAGATATTACTGGGGATTCACTCGAATTTTCTCCGAAAACATTCACTGGTGAATGATGTATTAATTGGATGAGACGGGTCTTTTGTATGGTTGACATTGCTTGGATCCTTTCATAATTTTATGCTAGTAGTGCATTCTATACTGGTTAGTTCTTTTCTTTTTGTTGTTGGCAGCAATTTGCTTGAGATTGCTAAATTTCTTATTTTATTTCTCCTTTGCTAGATGTAGTTTTGAAGCCTTCATCCTTTTCACCAACAATGGAGGTATTATAATTTGTATTGTTTTCATACTTATTGAAATTTATCTTATGGTAATCTAAATTTTTGCTAAACTAATAAATTTACAGGGCACTTCGGCGGTTATGGATAGTAGAAGCTCCACTTCATCTCAGTCAGATAGTAGTGGTGATTATGAGGCCGTGGTTAAGTCACATTCCTCTTATTGCAACTTCTCGGGTCGAGGTTGCTTCATGTCAAAAGCAGTATATCCTTTGTCATTTCCATTGGAAATGCCAACTAGGGAAGCTTCTGGCATCACCACTTCTGAGAGGTCAGAATATGATTCCACTCCACGAAGGGACAGACACCATCTGAGCAGTGCTACTGTGAGTGTCGATCTCACTGGATTATCTGAACACTTTGACGATGATCTTTTCAATAGATCTTATAGTCCTTCAGATCAAATTAGATGTGGATTGTGTGAGAGGTTCCTTTCACAGAGATCTCCCTGGAGTTCTCGGAGGATTGTAAGAAGTGGAGATATGCCAGTTGCTGGCATTCTTTCGTGTCGGCATGTATTCCATGCAGAGTGCTTGGAGTATACGACACCAAAGGTGCATAAGAGTGACCCTCCATGTCCCATTTGTGTGAAAGTTGAAGAGGAAAATTCCCCAGACCCGCGAATCATTTCCAAGTTGACTAGCCGTCTCCCTCGGTTTAAACCTATGCGTGAAGATGGACCATCCAAGCCTTGGGGCTGTACACGAGCTGGAGATTGTGTTGAACGGGCTTTGCACATCCCTACTCGTAACACAGTGTTATCTCTTAACCGGACCCGATTTAGAAAAAAGTTTATCCATGAAGGGAAATCGAAGTCACGGGAAGTTGAGAGCTAGTGGCTCTTAATCTTCGTGCCTATCGTGTTCTAGTTTGAAGTGTTGCCAGGGTTCTGTATATGCATGCATTTTACTTTAGGGTTTTCTCAGACCTTGCTGTTTTCTAATTGTTATTTGTTAAGCTAATTTGATGTGTAGGAAAACAGATCAGGCTATTAGCCATGTATGTTGTTTGTAGTTCAATCTAAATTACCCAGTCTTGCCGTCATGTTAGGCTTCAACTTGATAATTTATTCGGTTATGTTATATGTGCATCACAATTTACAGATTTGCTTGACAACAAATTATAAGACGAAATTTGATTAGGTTATAATCTCGTCAATTAAATAAATAAATAAATAACTTTCTTTTTTGACACATCACCAATATGTAAAAGATTAAGTAAATAGTGATTTATAACAAGCATTTTCCTAAGTCTGACCATTCTCTTTTGCGTAATGCTATACAACACTTGCCGTGTTTAACACTGATTTATGTATTATCGAGGTCATTGTCACGAATACGATAATTTATAAACGAAAATACATTTTAACTTGATCGTACGATGTGAAGATGATAAAGTGAGAGTGACAATGTGCAAGCTCATGCTATTTTAACTTAGATCGTACGATATGAAGGTGATAAAGTGAGAGTGACAATGTGCAAGCTCATGCTAAATAGAGAAATCCAGCTGACAATTAGGTTTTTTCAATTTAAATAGGGATCTAAACAAATTAATGCAAGAACTATGAAAGTCCAATAATCCCATGTGCCTTCTTGACATTATCTTCTTCGATCATTATATAAGTTCTTATCACTTTAATAGATTAGGTCCAAAAGGTCCAGTTGTTGGCCACCATGGAAGAAAAATATTATCCTCTTTATTACATTTTGACTGATAATAATCCTTTTTTCCACCTTATATTTTAATTTTTTTCTCTGTTGGGATGTGACAAATTTTTAATATTAGGATCAGTTTGACTAATTATTAATTAATTTTAGAACCGAATTTCTTATTCTTTGACATTTGTAATTAGCTTTTTGTTTATTGTACACATAATGGAAAGTTTAGGTAGATATATTTTATTTTGGCTTAGAATTGGTGCATTATACATATACATGCGTACATCTATTTTTAATTGTTATATATATCCATGTACTATGTGACGCGACATTATAAAAATGTTTAATTTACTATCGAGCAAAGATGTTGTGCCAACAATCGATTAGCTATTACTCCTTGAACTAGTTTATACCTAAATTTTGAAAAATAAGTAAATAAATAAATAATAAATAAATAAAAATTAATAATAATAATAAATAAATAAATTATCAAATTACAAATTTTTTTCGTACCAGTCAAAAATGGTACATCTGAATTTCAGAGATGTGACAAGTTACAATAACAAGAACAATCGTGCTGCAGAACCCATGATTAAATCCGATTCCGATCCAAGGCCGAGGTGACATGACCTTGGCCCTCTCACCACCTCGGCCCGTGGCTCCAAACCCGGAATTTTAATCCTAGGTTGAACAGCATTATTATAACAAGAATAGTTTTGATAACTACGACTGTTTGAAATGTACATAACACTATCTAATTTTTTATGACTCTTAATAAATTTCTTTTCTTTTTCTCAATGTTTGACTGTTTTCAGGAATTTTAACTCATGATTTCATGCAAATACATTAAAAAAAAAAAAAAAAATCGTTTTACGGTGCAAATGCTTCACAATAATGCATACGTGTACCAAAAAAAAGTTAATCGAAGACCGAAGGACATGTCACGTGCAAATCTGATTAAACATTCTTTAGCCAAATGATTAATTTTCTGTAAATAATCTGGTAATCATGCCATACAAGTCATAAAAACAATTATTAAGACAAATGTGGCAGACAAAGAAATTTAAGAAGAAATCTTTGTCGAATGGAAAGTTGGTTATGTGGCATATTTTGGTGGACGTTGTGACATCTTTTATTTGGTACGGTCGTGACATCAAATTTGAGGTGAAAAAATAGTGTTACTCTTATTTGATGTGTGTTGTGACATTAAGTTTGAGTTGAAAAAATTTACGTTAATATCGTTTAATTATTAAAAAGAGACAATTAGATAGATTCTATTTTCTAATTATCGGACATTAGAACATGTAACGAATTTATAAGATAGGACTTCGAGCAAAATATAAAGAGATGGTTAATACAAAGATTTATATAGTTTGACAATTAGTCTATATTTACAAGACCGAGTCTCAACAAAAAGTAAATGAAATAGGAGAATACGAAAGAGCAACATGTGTTCAAACACACCCAAATTTATACTAGACAAGACCTCAAAACTTTTACATAGTTGAGCCCATGTTCGAATTTCATTAAATTATATTCCATTTTTTTCTCTCTTATTTTTAACCACACAATCTTTTATAAAATAATATATCACATAAATCGAAAAAATTTCCTTCCTTTTCAACCACTCATTTAATAAAAAAAAAATTACTATTCCACCCATTTTAATTTCCAAAAAATGGCGGCCAAATGGGGGCTTAATCTTGAATATACTAAGACATGAAAAAAGAAAAATGTTGTTGATTTTGATAAGCTCAAACATACTAATGTGGTGTGATAAATTGTTATAGTAGAAGTTAATGCTAGATAGCAGAAGTTCAACCGTAATGAAGGCACGTGAACGAGTTTAGCTATATAAAGTTTAAGTTAGATACTCAAGTCCTAGAAAAAACTACTCGGTGAGGTAAGCAATTGTTCATGTCAGGTTAAGAAGGGACTAGATAGTACGATTTCGATCAGAATAATACGAAAGGATATATCTCAATGCGTGTTTTACACGTATCTCGATCTTTTAACAAGGCCTTTGATATTGTGTTGGAATTTTTATTAAATTTGATAAAAATATTCCAAATTTTGACTTCATATGTTAAATTCAATAAGTAATTGTGGAGTTCGAGAAGTGATTAAATTTATGACATGGAAGAATTTTGTCTTCATGGTTCCTTTGATATCGAATCTTGAAGAAAATTAAAGCAACATCAGAAAAGCAGCCAACAAATCACACGTGGACCTGCATTAAAGGGTAGTTGTGGTAGTTAAACCCCAACAATATCTTCATTCAAGAGATACTGATTCTCTTTTTTAAGATGAACTTCCACTGATTGCGGGCACGAGGGCTAATTACGTCAATTCTTATTGAAGTTATTTTCTACGTATTCATTTCTTAAGTTTTTAATTATTATATTAATAGTCACTTGACCAAAAAAATTTAAATTAAATTTTATGTGGTATCATTAATTAAGTGTCAGAACATCATCAAACAACATTATTTATTATGTCATGTCGACAAAATCAAAATGTTAGAAATTGGGGATTAAACACGTTCGAATGATAAAACATAATTCAGTTGTAGTTTTGGTGGAATTTTTAAGCTTAAATAGTAGAGTAAAGCTATGTTAATTTTTTACAATGGCTTTTTCCTGACTTAACACAATAAATAACGTTATTTGGTGACACTTTAGTGCTTAATGCGGTCACGTTTATTGAATTATAATTTTTCTTTGACCGAGTGACTGTTGGTGTAATAATTAAAAACTTGAATGACTCTTATCTTTCGAAAATAAATTCAGTGATAAGTGACATAATTTTTCAAAACTTCAACGATCATTGATGTAATTAACCCTAGACATAATAAAATTTTAGTATCGAGTCTTGACTTGTTTCTAGATGTTTCGAGAGAGAGTGGGAACTCATAAACAACAAACATATTTAATATTTATTTTAGGAAAATCAATTCCTGCAATTTATTAAGCTGCAGAAGCAAATCAATGATGTCGAGTCGGGTTTGACTAGATGAAATTTTATTAAACTCAAAAAAGAAAAAAGGAAAGTTAAAATTTTACTTAAATTGAATGAAAATCTGAAAAATAGTCAATTAATGCTTAAGAGAGTTTTTTCTTTTCTGACTTGAACTAGCATAGAGTAGTGAATTAGTGCTTAAGAGAGTGTTTTATTTTCTAACTTGAACTAGAAAAAATGTGATTATTTGGGGAAGCCTAAACGTTGCTAAAACTTGACGTCAAAGTCAATAATGAATTTTAACCTCGCATTGATGGATTCACAATTTTTATCTACTTTTCAACTGTCATTAATTTTTATCGAAATTTGTTAAAGAAAATTGATAAACGAACCCTAGGCCAATATGCCATAAGAGATTCGGTTAAAAATGCCATCGAATTTAACTAATTTCAATTTAAAATGAGTTTGAAAATAACCTTATCCAGTCCAATTCCAAAAAAATCTCTAATTTCTTGAAAATAAAATTCTATATTTCTTTTATTAAATATTTAAATTTGTACAAATTAAAATAATAATGATATTTTCCTCGTTGAGACATTTATGCAATCGAACTCGCTTAATCTCATGCTCATATATACTTGTACATATCCTATAATTTAATTTGTGGTGTGTTTGCAAGAGCTTTTTTGTTTAATATTTTATATTGTTTTATACCCAACTCAAATTAAATGGATACACGTTAATTTCATAGTAAATCCATGCTTCGTTTCCATTTTTTAGAGGGAAAATTGTAGCAGCGGTCCCTAACATTTTCATTTTTTATAAACTTTACCCTAACTTTCATTTTGCGTCAGCGGAAATTCCTAACATTTTATAAATATACACATAAGATCCATCTGAAAGGAAATCGTCCATAACACTGTCAGTTGATCGGGAAAACTAAGGAATCAACATCCAATAAAATCGTTTAAAACACCGTCTAGAACTGTATCAACATCCAATAAAACCGTTCAAGGTTTTGTCTCGATCAACTGATGGTGTTTTGGATGTTTTCGTCCAGATGGATCTTGGGTGCATATTTATGAAAGGTTGGGGACCTTTGCTAGCACAAAATGAAAGTTAGGATAAAATCAGTAAAAAATGAAAATATTAGGGACCGTTGCTGCAATTTTTTCTTTTTTAAAACTCATTTTCAACTATACATTTTATAAAATTCACAATTTTTATCAATTTTTCAACCTTATATTTTATCAATTTTCATCACAACAAACATTGACTAAATATAGACTTTTCAATGAGTAGTTTTTCTTCTTTTTGTAGGTTGAGCTTTATTATACTTGAAAGCTTGTGGGTCAAAATTCTTCTTAAATTATTTAATGCAAGCCTTTTGGTTAGGGATATCTTTATCTTATTAAAAAATAAATAAAAAATCTAAACTTTTATTCCATATCGT